TTTTGTCTCATTACATGAACTCTGAATGTTTGTTTTTTGCGATTTTTTGCTGATGCGATCTCAATGCATATACAAACAAGTTTGACAGTTGGATGGTTGAAATTAGTTTTGTAGAATTCATATCCCATCAAGTTCAATAGTGTGTGTATATATATATATTTATTAAGTAGATTTAAATTTATTTATTTTGTACGTATAACACTTAAGAAATTGAATGGTATGTATGTTTAAGCCGATCCAATGGTCACCAATTTTTAATATTTAATTTAATATATATATAATTATTATAGTTTTTAGGGGTATAAAATTGTTAAATTAATATATATAATTATTATACTATTTTTTTAGGATTATAAAATTATAAAATTAATATTTTGTTTATCATGTATTGTGTTACTCACGTGTATACCCCGTTTTCTTAATAGGTGCTTATCGGGTTACCCCATAATGACTTGATTCGTTATCGTATTGACCCGAATAACTGTTAATTTCGTGTCATGTCGTGTCGGGTTATCGGGTTGTGTCAGGAATTGCCAGGCCTAGTCCAAGATTCTTGAACACTTGTTCACACACGACTGAGATCCTCTTGGGATTTCCTCTGTGTGGACTCACGGGATCAACTAATACTAATTGTTGATACAAGATAGTGCAGCAAAATTGGATTTAATATGGAGAAATGCTGAGAAGACTATCTCAAAGTGAAACTTTCTATCGACTATCTGCCACTTCACAGCTTAATGTTAATTCCCGTGCTAGCATGAAGTGGTAGAGAGATCATGGAGAATCCCACTTTTGAGAAAATCTCCTTAGATCATCTCCAACTTTTGGATTAAAACCTAACATTTTTTACACATGAACAATTTTTTACTCCAACCCTTCTAGGTTAAATTTTTAGTCCTAAATTATTAAAAATTAAATTTAGGCTAATTTCTTTAAAGTAACATTTTAGAAATGTAGACTATTCTAATTTAATTTTATGAACATTTTAATCTAAAAATATTTACACTTCGATAAATATTAAAAAATCACTCAACCGACACCATGAAACTCATGAAAGACTATGAAAGAATATGAAACACATGAAAGAAGGTGAAACACATGATAGAGATGCATAACACATTAAACATATATAAAACACATGAAACACACGAAATACATATAATTTAAACAATTTTGGGTCAATTCTAATTTAAATAATTTTGATTTAAATACAAAGGTTTTTATAGAGTTTTTAGGTCAATTTTGATTTAAATAATTTTTTTAATAGTTTTAGCTGTTGGATTTAATTTTGGGTTGTTAGATCTTTTTTTATCGTTAGATTTGATCATATTAGATCTCAGCCATTGAATTTAATGAATTTATAAATATGAAACTAAAAAGCAAATAAATTTGAATGTGGACCAATGGTTTTCCAATGGTCCATTTGAATTTGCGTCGTCCAATTAAACCAAAGAGTCGTTGAACTCATTATTGTGGCACGTTGTGGTGTTGGGGAGCATTAAACTTCTGCATCTAGCCTTCTACTGGGAGCGTTCACTCATAGATGGTGGGCCCGCCCACTAACCCAGTGTGGAATCCTAGCCAAAATTTGCATCATAAATAAATTTTGGGTTAAATGTGACATCCCACATCACCTAGGGGTGTGATCCTTATATGTATATTTCAATCCTTACCTAGCACGAGGCTTTTTGGGAACTCACGAGCAACTTCCCAGTGGGTCACCCATCATGGGATTGCTCTAGCCCCCTTCTCGCTTAACTTCGAAGTTCCTACGGAACCCGAAGCCAGTGAGCTCCCAAAATACCTCGTGCTAGGTAAGGATTGGAATATACATATAAGGATCACACCCCTGGGTGATGTGGGATGTCACAATCCACCCCCCTTAGGGGCCCGACGTCCTCGTCGGCACACCACGACCAGGGTTAGGCTCTGATACCAAATTGTCACATCCCGGCCCTGGCGGATCACTTCCCAGGCCCGCTCCACCACCGTAGCACGATATTGTCCGCTTCGGCCCGGGTGGGACCACTTCCCGGGCCGGGATGTGACATTAAAACTCATATTTGGTCCAAGGGTTGGAACACATTGGGGTGGGTTTAGAATTTAAAATTTTGAGTTTTACTCCAAAAGTTTAAGTTTTAATCATATTTGGTTTGCAAATTTAGTTTAAAAAATTTGGTCTCCTTATACCATCTTCAATTCTTGAGGATAAAACTTAAAATATATGCTTTAAAACTCACATTTGACCCAAGGCTTAAATTCAGGAAAAATCTAGTCCAGATATATATTTTCTTTCCATAACTTATTTTAGCCCAGGATTGATGATGATTTAGGGGGTTTTAAAGTTTTTATTTTAAGTTTTATCTCCTGAACTTGAAACGAGGCAGTCGACCTCTTTCTCCTTCGTCTCTTACGCGGACCCAAAACTCTGTTTCGATTTCTTCCGCCCTCATTGCCTCTCGCTCGCCAAACTCATCTCTCTGATTCTTTGAAAAAAGGCTTGTAGAAGGAGAGAGTAGAGAAGTATGTAGTCCTTACTATTATTGTCATCTAATTATCATCTTACGCCCACAATCTGTCTTCTTCTTCCAAATCCATGGTGCAATACGAATCAGTTGGGATTCTTCAATCAGACCTGGGTTACTTGCAAAGTTCAATTAATTGTATGTCTTAGAAAAATAGAAAATGCAACCAAAAGTTATGCTGAGATTTGAATCAGTTTTAATTGATGGAAAAAAACAGAAATTTAGGTTTTGATTGATTTAAAATGTCAAAAAGGTCATTAGCGTAAATGGATGTATTAAAAAGAAATTCTAAAGAAACCAGGTGATTATTTTGCAAGGTTTACCTATCACACGCTATTGTTAATTTTTGTACATGATCATCTTCAATTCATTTGATTTAATGATAAAAAATTGAGAAGGCTGTGTGAGAGATAAAAATAGATGTGTGGATAGCACCATCAATTTTGCAAACACGGGAACCCTAAGATAACAAAAGTTTTAGGGTTTGGCGAGGCAACTTAAACACCAAATATTGAAAGAACGATGGAGCAGAAAAAAGAGCATATATACTTCCAAAGATTGCATAGATTCATAGAAAAAGAACAAAAAAAATGTCCATTATTTTAAAGCAAGGATCATCTAAAAAATATGAAATGGAAAGAGCTGATGAGCATGAAACTTGATGGATCGATGAGTCCAACTACAACGAGACTTCGATATTTTTTGCCGGAGATGGATGCTTCCATGACATGGTGCTGCGGTCAATTTTCCAACCTTTGTAATCGTCCCAAATATCCTGAAACTGAATCTGCGCAATCGGATTCTTATCTCCCTTCTTCTCCTTCACCACAGAAGTCTCTTATTGACAACACCAGCCGTTCTATCAGCTATTCCAGTGCTTTTTCAGGGGCACCAAAACCTTTTTCCTCAGCCGGTCTCCAACTGTCCTTTTTAATCCACCTCGTCCCTGTTCCCTCCGGGTATGATTCTCTCAGGAAAATCGTCCTCGCAATGCTTTCGCAGAGCAGAGTAGCCAGGGTGGCGCTGGAGTCCTCGTGGTTTCCTGTAAGGAAACAGTCTGCGGCCTTCGTTAGACTCGGGTAGCGCTCATAATTGTCAACGTCATCAAATTATATAGGCTTAAAATCAGAATGCTTTAGCTTTGCTTCAACTTTTGAATATAAGACTTCATGCACTCCACGAAAAGATCCGAAACACAGTCGTATAACAAACGATAACCTGGATCAAGCTCGTATCAGAAGCCTTCTTGGTCTCATACTCTCCGTAGTAATCAGATTGCGCGACGTTAAAAGAGATCGAGGCAGGGGTCACCCCGGGAGGGGAAGGAAGAGGTGAAATTGTTGAATAGTGGCCAAATTAATGGCCAACTTGGCATCCACTCTCGGTTAGTAAACAAAGGAAAAGAAAAAAGGTGGACATCATTCCTTGTTTTGGGGAAGAAAAAAGGGAAAAGGAAACTTTGGTTTTGGTCCTTTATGTTTTGGTGGTTGCCTTTGCAGCCGAAAGAGAGGAGAGGAGAGAGAGAAGGCGGGGCCTTTTGTTTATATTAAGGCATTTGGTTATGCCTTTGGTTGTGGGGGAGCGGCAGATGAGAGAAACCAGGGAGAGCATTCGGCTCTCCCATTTGAATATGAGCTGCTCCTTCCCACCATTTGTAATAATCCTATTTTGTTAGTAATCACTCAATCAAAGATGTTGGTGCTACTTGTGTAGCTTTTGGGAGAGAAGGATTTTGATATGTGTTTCTTCTTCTCCATTTGTTTCTTAGTTTGAGTGAGAGCTATTGGTTGTATGTGGGATTTGGGTTTGAGAGTTAAAACTCTATTTGTAATCTCCTTTTGATATTAGTGGAATTTCCTCGCCGTCTCGAAACTGGATGTAGGCTTACGCCGAACCAGTATAAATCCTTGTGTCTTTTGGATTATTTGTCTTGTAATATTTTGCCGTATTAGCTTTGGTTTCATATTTGAAGCTTCCGCACAACAGAAATGATATTGTTTGTGTCTGAGTCGAATCAGAAGACTCGGTACTGTAGCGCATTGCCATTACCACCTGACGTCCCCTCGGCCGCAGCAGCGGCAGAATAATTGGTGTTCTACAGGCAGCCATCAATCTTAATTTTTGAGTTCTGAAATATGGTTGACAGATGAAAGCAGTTTTACCAATTCACTTGGACTAGCTCTACGCCGAAAGCCAAAAACAAAACAGTAATAACAATTTATCTTGAACTGATTCCTTTCCATGGTAGGAGCTGATTACTTGGGTACCAAGGAAGGCTGAGGCCTTTGGATATGTCTTACATTGCAAGCAAAATAATACATCAAAGACAAACAGAAATTTGGAAATAATACAGTTTTTCAGATTTATTTGGGCAAAATTAAATTTATTGGACATTAATAATTTGTGGTTACATATGCGCCAGCAGAAATCAAAACCCAGTGCAAGGTGCCCAAAACATACCGGACAGGATAACAATGTTGTAACAAGTTATTTCTTCATTATTCCAAATGTCACTTCTGTACAATGCACAATTGGGTTAGCAGACTTCTACACTACATAAATCGACCGCAGGTACAGCGCAACCCGAATAGCGTACGGATGTCCATCAATCGGTAAATAGTAATGTTTGTATTTGGATATCTACAGAAAGTTATTGCCGACACCTATCACGATTTTGGCGCAGACGCAATGTACACTTCACTCGGCAGGAAGCGCAAACGAGAATAAAATCATCTCCTGAGGCTGTCCTTCGTGAAAAAAGAATGTCGGAGGGCTTCGCGAGCAGAAAGCCTATCCGAGGGGTCGTACCTAAGCAGACCCTGCAAGAGGTGAATAAGGTCCCCGGCGGAATGGTCTACGTGCTGCATTATAAGATTCTGCAAAATGAAAAAATGAGCAACACAGTTGAAACATTTAAGTATTACCAACACGAAATTAAGTGGCTCCAACAGTCCATCAAGTAGGCAACAGAAATTCGCAAAGGAAGCAAAATACACACCTGGAGCCGAGGAAGCTTCTGAACAGCTCTGATACTCTCTCTAGAAGCTGCACCCTCTGGCCAATCCAATCTACCCCTTCTAACATACTTCTCAGCATGTCGGCTGCAAATTTCCACGAGAAAGGATAAGCAAGAATTCAACTTCATGCTAAAAATAAATTACAATCAAAAGATATTATTATAACTTACTCTGCTCTTTTCAACATGTGCTGGGGTAGGGAACCAAGTACCCGCTCCATCATGGCGAGGTGCTCCAAATTCTCGTGAGTCTGGAACAAGGCTTCACCCTATACCAAGCAGCACAAGCACCATAAATATGGCTTGTATTATTTACATGAAGATATTGACAACAAAAAGCATATAGTTAGCAGACAAACCGTGCATAACTCCACCAGGATACAACCAATGCTCCATACATCGCAAGGGTAGGTCCATCCCAGCCCTACAAAATCACCGTAAATAATGAAATTTTGTGTACTTACAGGCTTACAGCTCAAAGACATCAGTACGTATTAAGTTCACACTCACCAAGAATAACCTCTGGTGCTCGGTAATGCCGTGTTGATACAATATAGGTTTGATCTTGACGCTCGTAAGTTGTGCTACCAAAATCAATAACTTTAATAGCACTCGACTTTGGTACTCTCTTAAAATAGGAGCTATCTTTGGGTGATCGAGATGAGCTCTGCGGTCAGTAATAGATAGAACATTAGAGAATTCACACCAGTAAAAGAAAAGGAGGGAGAGATTAAAATATAAGAGAGGGGAGAGATTAAAATATAAGAGACAATCAAATGCCCTAGTGTGCTTGAAATCAAATGAAAAACAGCAACCACCTTATTGTAATCAGGAACTTTAATATAATCCGGAGAAACAAGGAGTATATTCTCTGGCTTCAAGTCGGTATGAATAAGACGAAGATCATGCATGACTGCATAGAAACCAGAATATCATCAGAAAGTAGGACCACAAGGGAAAAAAAAATAAAAACCAATCCTATCTTGATTGGTATGCCTACTTACAGGAAAATACTTAAAAGAGCGTATCTCAGCTCCTACAGCATGTTTTAATAAAGTTTCCATAGCAGTGAAAAAAAATCATAGAATAAATTGATTTATCCCTCTCGACAATGTAACAAAAATATGAAGAAAAGCAATATATATTGATTGAAAGAAACTAGCTTAGGTATAACTACACACATGCTACACATTCCAAGAGTTGTCTTCCAATCTCACGGACAAGGTCAATCGGAAATGAGCGGTAATTGTTTTTCTTGAGAAAATCATATAAGCTTGGTCCAAGCTTCTCAAACACCTGTTAAAACCATTTGAATTCACGAACAAGTTTTAACCCCCAAATTATTTGTGAATTGGGGAAATCAATCCATCACATATTAATCTAATACTTACAATACAGATATGGTTACGATAGTCAAACCAGTTCCGTAATTGCACACAACTGCAAGGAATGAACCCATTTAACAAAGCAACCAAGTAATGCAATAAAGTTTAGGAAAAAGCTTCTTCAAACACTCCATGTCAGTAAAAAAGTTGAAAATTAGAAACAACTACTCACCGATTGCCACCTTTATCATGTTTACCAAGCTGTTGCAGCACTTCGATTTCTATCATTGCTGCTTCACGATATTTCTTGATGCCACGAACAATTTTTATGGCAACCATTTCCCTTTTTTCTCTGTCCCAGCATTCCAACACCTGACCAAAGGTACCTTCACCCATTTTGCTCTGGATTTTGTCTGAAAAAAAAGTGAAAACAACAATTAACCTCCACAACTAAAATTGTAAAGTTCGCAAAATACGATACAAAAAACATTCAAAGAACTCTGCTAGAAAACTGGCCAACACTGATATCCACTAAAACATCAGAAATTCAAGGATTAAATAACCAGAAAAATAAAGTCTAAAAAGAACATAAGATTATGCGTTGATTGTGTAATTACAGCGAGTTGTTAAATTCTCTCCAAGCAAAAACATGTAATGCCCATCTTTGTCATCTTCTCTCCATGGGGGGGAACCATTTCGAGTCACTTCCTTATCAAATAGAGAAATAGTAGTGGTCTCTGACGGTGCCATCAAAGATGCATAGCTCGTCACATTCCCAAGCTCTTGTCCACAAAATATTCCTACCTGAGCCTACACACAGCCATCCATTCATGTACCACTCAACATATTAAGTCAAAATTTTGCCAACCCCAATACCGCATCGCAATCCACACCCGTTAGGTCCAATAAGAATCTCTTAAATCATAACCAAAACTAATAGCTTATACGAAAGACAAGAAAACAAATTCCAAATGCAGCTATAAAAATACCACACAACATACGATGGAAAACACTTAACATGACCAACGAATGTAACCGACCGTTCCCAACAACAACACACCTATTAACATTATAATCTTGAATAAATCGAGCTAATTGTCTCTATATCAACTAACCAAAATTTCTATATCAAAAGGGGTTCTATGGATTTGCTAGTTTTACTGACAATACCAGATAAAACCACAGATTAATACCTGATATTTCAAAAACTAATCTTTCTAAGACAAAATTACTAGCTTTTGGAAAATTTTGGAAGAAAACTTTCAACAATTTACGAATAATCAGTTCCTAAATAAATAGATTTTCTGTAAATCGACCTAATAAAAATCGTAAATCAAATTATTAGAAAATATTCTATCAGTATATCCATACTACGATCTAAAATCTTGAAGTTTACATTTAACCTTCCAACAAATTTACCAAATTTAATAAATTTTGAGACTTTAATATCAGATCTAAAAGAATACAATACAGAAATTCTACCCAACCATCAAATATAATAGCATTAAACGGCAAAAATCAAGTTATCGGATAAATCCCACCAAAAAAAAAAAATTGAATCGGACCTAAAAATTAAAGAACAAGGATAATACCTTAGGGGCCTGAGGAACGTCCCAGCCCAAACGCGCCCTCTTTCGAGGGCGGCGATCCAAGTAAGCGAAAGGAAACTCCGTCACGCGCTCCGTCTCCATGATCGCAGATCGGGAAATCGATAATCTCTGAAAAAAATTCAACAAAATTGACGAGATATCGGATGAAATTCGAGAGAGAGAGGCTAAAGTCCAACCCTAATTTTAACCTAACAATAAAGCGTAAGAAGGTTCGATTGAAATCTAGCCGTCCACGTGGTGCTTTCTTGTCCGTTTGTTTGACCGATCCTGTTGCTATTCCAGCTCGTCGAGGGTTTTAATTTGACTATGGTTAATACTTTTGGGTTGGAATTTAACCGTCGTTGAGTTAGCTTTATTTAGCTGCGGAATATTATTTTGGGGAGAGTTGAATATACCCTCGAAAAATAATCATAGTCAAACTAGGAAAAGATGTTTTCCCAAAAAAAAAAAAAAAACCTAGGAAAAGATGCGAGAAGTCCTCCCAGCTGAGTCTGTGGTTAGATTGAAATCTCTTAATCTTTCCAAGTTCAAAAAAAGTAGATAATCGTGACTTATCATCAGTTATTTTTTTTTATTTTAAAAAAAAAAGAAAAACCTAGAAAATGATTAATTTATTTCCTCCCATTTTGATTGCAAAATACGAATTATTTAGGAGTTATGGCTCATATGTGTAGAATATGAGTACAGGTACTTTTTTTAATTTTTAACCATAATGTATTAATCTTTCTCCATTTATACGATATTACATACTAAATAGTAAACATACGAAAAATAGTTAGATGCTCATATTATTCCTTAAGTCTATGTTCTTCCATTCTTTTATGGGAATACAAATCTCTTACTATTCATGAATAACGTATCTTTATTTTATGAACTCCACGACTATAATCGTTCAATTTGTAAATCTTTATTTGAAAATCGTTAGAAAAATATCATTGTTTAGTCATGCAAATAGATCAAATAAATACAATAAAAACACATTATTCGCTTAGAGTGATGATGTGTACATTCCTCGTAGACGGAAGCAAGTATTATTCTTTTTAGTTTTTGGGTGTGGCTCACGTACACAAGCCGAGGATTACCCAGAATAATTAGCAGGTGAGACCATGAGTTCAATATACTATAGTACCTTCCTTAGTACGACACTGGTAATTTCAATTCATTCTATTTGGAGCTGGTAGGAGGATTTGTCCTGGAATTCAGTTTGCCATCGCAGGTAATGAGATCGCTTTATTAGCAAATATTGTGCACAAGCTCAACCGGGCATTGCCTGGTGAATCTGATGACAGTTGGTGTGTTGAGAGTTCATCTCACATTGGCGAGGAACAAGTCTAGCTAATAACTTATATGATTTTGAGATATTTCTTATATTTTCAATTGGTCTTATGGTAAAACTTCAATTTTATTATGCTATCAGATTCAGAGCATGCTACTCTCATATTGGACAAGTCTAGCTAAGGACTAATGTAATCTTGGACTACTCCTCCTCATATTGCCAATTGATTTTATGGTAATCCTAATTCCAGCAGAATCCACTAGTTTAACACATTGTTCAATGCGATATAAAGTCACGCCGAAAAGTGAGGCCACATAAAGTCATCGCGAGAGCGAGATCACATAAAGTCATCTTAGATAGACGAGACCACATAACACATCGTTCAATGTGAAAATTATATCCAGCTAACGTTGCAGCGCATTCACAACACTCGCTAGGTGAGACAATAGGACTAAACTAAGATAAACTAAATTAAACTAAACTAATCCAAAACTAAACAAAATAGAAAAAATCCGAGAAAGGAACCACAAGCCGGCATATTCCGATGAAGGAATAGGACGATTTTGAGACAAGGCAACCTGCAATGACAAGCACGAATAGGACCAGCACCATTAGCAAGTCCTGCAGCAGATGAAGAGACATCGAAGTGTCCAGATCTGGAAACATCAAGCGGTGGGGCCTCCAAAACAGGTCGACCCACATTGGTGAGGGACAAAGTCTAGCTAAGGACTTATATGATTTTGGGAGGCTACTCACCATCTTGGACAAGTCTAGCTATGGATTTATATGATCTTGGGCTACTCTTCATATACCAATTGATTTTATAGTAATTCTAATTCCAACAAAATCCACTGATTTAACGATACCAATAAAGTATCCTCTTAAAGCTGTTACTATCCCGTATTCATGTTGTATTCGTGTTAAAACATAGAGCGATGTACATGTCTCAATACCTTACTTGTTCATAGAGCGTATTCATGTTAAACATTTTCATGCCCTTTGGTGAATATAAGTTGGTGTCCCTAGTAGTACATTTCGTATATGTTAAAGAAATTTTGATGAACTCATCATTCGTCTATTATGGCTTTTTCTGTCACCTTTGTTACCAAACATACCAGATCACAAGATTAGGTTCCACGATATTATGAGTGTCAGTGCAAGTTTCTTAAATTGGTTCGGTGTGGAATCCGAACTCATGGTTTGGATCCATGGTGGTGTGTTTGTCAAATTCTAAAGGCAGCTGCACGTTATCTCATGGATTTGACTAAATTGGGGAAGATAATTTCGATTAACGTGCTAGTTAGTTGATGTATTTTTTTTCTTAAAACTTTAGAGACCGGCTGATATGCAGATGGTTGAACCAAAAATCTGTTCTTATTTCTAGCATAATAGTTCTGTTTCAGAATTACAGTTTCAGCTGCAAATCGGATACAAGAATGCGTTTACTTACTCGGGGATTTGAAGATGAAAAAATTTTAAGTTTAATAAGCTATGGTTAAAGATTTCAGATGGATAGGTTTTTAACTTTCTATACTAGTCTCAGGATAGAAATTTTAGTGGCTACGACGAATTCCACAAGCTGAACCAGAAGGATCACCATCAAAAGTGAGGATTGCCATCACTCTAGATTCCCATGGACCATCTATCATTGTAGATTCATCGATGTAAATCGCTATTGTTACAGACCTGTCAAACCAAAATCATGGATAGAGTTATCGACTAGAATCACGTCGACACAAATTTCCAAAAAGAAAAATTACGAACGTTAATATCTCTTAGACAAACACTCAACTTATTAATGTCTTCACACTGAGATTTCACTGATCAGACCCAAATAAAGCCACAAGTAATTGGCAACAACAATAGCTCATGTACTTAAAAATCAAACGAACAAGAGAAAAATTAGTAGTCGTACAAACTCAACAGTTCAATTCTATCAAATTGAATTCAACATGTAGCCATCATTCATTTGATAGCAACTCCAAAAATTACAAAACAGTGCACACCTCGTCCTCTTTTGCAAAACCAAAAATACTCAAACTAACAACCAAGCTTAGTTTGATATTGAGTGTATGTTTTGTGAGAGCAAAGACCACTGTTTATATAGAAAAAACCTTGTGATTTTCCTATTGAAATCAGTGTAGGAAACTGACATACAATTCCAATCCAACCATGAGTTCTAAGTATTAGCATTTACTTAAAGTTTCAGTCCCAGACTGATTAGGACAACTTTAAAGTCTTCAAAAAGACCTTTTCATACCAATATGAAACATTATAGCCAATTTCTAGCACTAACAATCATACTCATATTCTAACAATAGCAGCAAGAACAATGGTCATAATCAATGCTTGCACAATTGGAAGACCCCTCATTTTGGGATGAGCTAGAGGAGTTTAAACTAGAGAGGTTTCTAAATTCTTCGGTGGATTTCAAGGGGCATGACTTCGAATTAATCCCTTTTGGAGCTGGAAGAAGGGGTTGTCCTGGATCCTTGTTTGCCATGGCCCCAATAAGACCGTGTTAGCAAATCTTGTGCACAAATTTGATTGAACATTTCCCGGCGGAGCAAGAGCAGCCGAGTAAGCATGACCGGATGTACCGATCTTGTCATCCATCGAAAAGTTCCCCTTGTAGTTATGGTTGCCCTAGAATGTTTATTTATATTTATTTGTAGCAATAAACTTCTACGAAATTAGATTGTCGTTTAGGACTTGGTGTTGGGTTGGATTTTGATTTTTCTTGCAACTTAACGAAACTTCGAATTCAAAAGTTAAAACGCTTTGCTTTCCTAAAGCACTTCGTTTTTCTCTTTCTCCACAAGAAAATTTACCCAGTGGACTAAGTAAATTAGATAGCCTACGTGGCAATTTGACATATTTTAACATTTCGTTCTCCATCCGATATGTATTATTAAACTATAATTTTATTACATTATTTTATTTTCTTAATTTCTGTTGTGTTTGGGATCCCTTTTTCTTTCACCAAGCAAAGGTCTATACAAACCCAAACACAACAAAATCTCGTGAGTTCGAACATTGAGCTCTTTCTCTCTAAGATGGAAAGAAGATTTATCTTTTTTATTCCTGTGATTAGAGATGAATTGTCTCCAGAAACACACAAGGTTTCTCATCCATTTCCGTACACACATATTCCATAAACATTCATGAATTTTCTTTACCAATTAATTAAATCTTTTTTCATTTCATTTTTTTTTTCTTCAAATTTCAGATCTCTGTTTTGCCTCTCCATAGCTTCAGAAGCAATCCCAAGAGCCCTTCGTTCTCTAGCGCAACTCTATTGTTGATTAACAAAAAAGAAAGAGGGATATGAACAGATTGCACATTCAACAATCAACATTCATTATAATAAATGATTAAACTAATAAAAAATCAACGAAAACGTTTAATAATTAATTAAAAAAACATTTGAAGCTCATGTTAGATTTGACAGTAATCCACTTTGTTGCCAATCAATGTCATATCACATAAGATTTGACATTTCGGTTGAAAATTATTAGTGGCTGTCTTTTTTTTATTGTAATAACTTATGTAGACATTTTGACATATCATTTGGAGATGCTCTAACACATCTAAATCTACACTTTAATAGAAATCCATTTGTCAATCAAAAACCAATGAAATTACAATTATAACCTTTAATACATAACTAAAAAATTTTAGAAAAGAAAAGAAAAAAAAGTGGGCATTAAAGTAATTTCGTGCAAACAAATTTTTGTTGTTTGTTTTTTAAACTTCAGAGTCATGTTGCCCTATCACTACCCTCTAAACTCATTCTCTCTCCCTCTCTCTTTCTCTATCCTTAATTGCCGACACTTTTTTTTTTATGCCTTCTGTATCTCCTACCATAATATATATATATATATATA